ATAATATGATATAACATAATGGGTCATTTAGGGCCACTAAAAAAAAAAAACGATTCTGACTTTGATCTCAGAAATCTGAGATCAAAGGCAGAATTCGAAGAACCTGTCCAGAGGACTTATTTTTTCTTTTTGATCTGGATTTGAAAAGTTTTGTGTCAGAGCATTTGATCGCTGTTGTCACTTAATTGCATAAAAAAGTTCAGATTTCACTCGGAAAATGTTGTATAAAGTGGGCCTTTGTTCTTTGTTTACCTGGCTTACAGGAGAAATGTTGTTTACAGGCATYAATGGGTGAACCGCCTCTGCTCTGTCCAAGAACTTTCCTGTAATCTTTTGAAAAGGGTCTTAATCAATAAATTTTTCAGGCTTCTTGAAAGTATTTTAGTTTTGTGTTTTGGACTTTGATTGCCTTTCACCTCAGTTTCAGTCTAACATCAGATCATGTTTGGTGGGATGCTTTTTTAAAAGTCAACAATTCAGGTATATGAATCCTTCGAGCATAAAGTTTCCCAAACCCAAACGATGAATCCGGTGCTGCGTCGACACTTTACTGAAAACCTGGCAAAAACAAAAAAAGTTTCACACAGAAATTGTTTTTACCCTCATCACARCTGTAATAGTGAAAAACATACTAGAATAACAGCTGGAGAATACAGATRGAATATCTATTAGCATCATATTATTGTGGGGGATATTCAGTTAATGCAAATGAATGTTTGGTCAAGACTAAAACCAGTTCACATGCATCATGAAATTCAGGTTATGAGAAGTTTAAATGCTCTGCCTGCCAGCATAAAAAAATGTTTCCTTTATCTAGATTTGAGATCCTCCAGTCCATTCTTTAAAAAAAAAAAGAAAAAAAGAAAATACAAGCGACAGCAATGGGTCAGTGAATCAATAACGTGGTGATTGGATAAAAATATCTACGACCAATAAAAACTTCCTTTGAGTTATTAGTGTAATTATTGACATATGGGGTGAGGAGAGTCAACGCGAGTGATTTGATTAACTAAACCTCTTAACTTAGAAAACAATTTTACTGACAAAATTAAATGTTTAGCCTGCAATATTGTACAAACCTGAGCTCAGGATTAAAATAAATCTCAGCATAATTTGTTTTCTTTTGTAAAAGTTTTTTAGATTTCTCTAAATCTTGGCTTGATGACTCAGCAGAACAGCTGATCCTTGATGTCAAAGGTCAGAAAAAAGGCCAAATCTGCTGTCGATACATGAAGTCATCTATGAATCTGGAACAGATTATTTGAATTTTAGTGATTTGAATATGCAAACAACATAGGGCTTTGCTTCTTTTTCTAAGCAATCAATTTGCATTCTGAACAATTTAAATAAATGTCACTTATTGGATCTGTTGGCACAGTTTCAAAAGAGACTCCACGTTTATTTAAATATGCTAAAACAGTATCCACAGGATCTGCTTATATTAAATAAATTAAGCATCACATAATAAATCTTTAATGCAGGTATGTTGTGAGATATGACAGAATTATATACAACTTTACACAATAAAGTTTGCTCTTATGTTCTATATCCACAATGACTACGACTTTAATAAAACTGATTTTTTTAACTGTGTATGAGAGAAATGAGCACAATAAACAATCTCCTTTGGGCTATTGTGTGTTAGTCAGTTCATCAGATTAAAAAAAATAATCAGGAATGGTTTTCGACTTGGTGTGGAAGAGCTGTTTTTCCTGGACCCCCATTGGAGCTGGATTTGTCTTTTCCTTTCATGAAAAAAGTAAGTAGTTCTCCTTTTCCTTTGACAAAAATGGGCCCTCTTCGAATGAAGCGGAAGCCGTATTCCTTCAGGATGTCATAGCAGTCCTCCACCACCTGAGGGACAAAGCGCACACAATAACCAGTACCTGTGACATGCATACCCTTCAAATGCAACAAGTCAAAGAAAACATCTTTAAATTAAAAAAAAAACTTGGCATGATATACAAGGTTTTATCTATTTTGTCACATACATAACTGGCATATTTGCTTTTAAATTTGGCTCAGCCAAAATGAAACTGGAAGTGACATCAAAGGGGAAACTCTGGAAAAAAGGGAACTCTATTGTCTTTATTTATTGAAACATTATTTGAACTCTGACTCTTCTTCATTTCTCTCTAACAGCGACTCAAAATAAACTAAAGAAACATCAGATTATTCTCTACAGYCTGTGTTGTTAGCCGTTGTAGCAATGCTCTGTTCACGTTCAGACTCTTTGACATCACTTCCTGTTACTACACATGCAAACAGCTCAACAATGGTTCATCTCAGCAGTGTGACATTTGTTTTGCAATACATTATCCATGTTATCTTTCCACAAATGCATTCATATTTTTTATTTTAAAAAAAACTGACGTCACAGGAACTTTAAATGTGCTAAGGAAAAAAAACATGTATCTGTTGTTGGTATTGACATCATGGACCTGACTTAACTGTGTTCCAAAAACAAGCTGGATTTTCATTTGTGTTCGGATCTGAGCCAGTTGTTATACTCAGTAACCAGACTGACTAGCATTAGCAAAACAAGCCAATAACCATGAATTTCTCAGGATTGTGTCCATTCAAACTCTATAACAACATGCAATTTCCAGGTACAAATAGCAAGCACCGAACTTCCTAAAGGAAGTGCCATCTAAAGAGTTACTTCTGTCACAATTCTTTCTTCTTTTCAGTGGCCTCTATCGTCTATCGTACAAGTCTTCTTCCTTATAATGATGTAACGGTTTAAAAAATAGAGAGTATGAGCTGTAAAAAAATTTTTAAGGTTACAGTTTATGATATTAATCCATCCTGCTGGGATTAACCGTTAGCTTACCAGGCTGTCAGAAACAAACTTCCATTTCTCCAAATCAAAAAGAGATTTCTTCAACAGCTTTTTCAAAGAATCCTGATGGAGTGCACCATTCAGGATTCAAGAGCCTTTTTTGTTAAAGGCTCCATTTAGATTCGGCACATATGACCTGTGTGATTTATTCACATGAGGACAAACAGGTGTGAGCAAACAGGTCAAATCMCTAAACAGGGCCTGTGTGTGTGTTACCTGGATGTTCCCCATCACTCCAGTCGACTCCATCCTGCTGGCCACATTCACCGTGTTGCCCCAGATGTCATAATGAGGCTTACGAGCTCCAATCACTCCGGCCAGAACGCCTCCTTTATTCAAACCTGCAGGAATCAACAAGGAGTCGTAAACGTGCAGTCCACACACACAGAGAGAGAGGCTAACGCTTCCGGGCTCACACTGACCAATGCGGAGCATGAAGTTGTTGAAGGACTGTTTGTTGAGGTTGTCCAGCGTCACTTTCATGGCCAAGGCAAAGTCTGCCAAGTCAGAGAGGTGTTGCCAACGCTGAATCAGAGACTGGTCTTCTGGCTGATAAACAACAGTGTGCAACCGTTTTACATGATGTCACCATTTCTTGCACACCAGATGAGTTAATAAGATTAACAAAACACAGAGGTAGACTCTTCCAGATCTGGTTAAAGGATCACACCTTACTGTTGCCGTATCTATTAGAGTTGCTCTCAGGTGTGAGTCCTGAGGCAGCCATGTAGGTGCTTCCTATCGTCTTGATCTTGGTGATGCACCGGAACTCGTCTCGGTCTAATAACTATTGGAAGATCGATGTTAGGAAAAACATGGCTCGTTCAGTATGATGTCACATCGTGCAGCGCCAGAACCTACCGTGTCAAAGTCTGAGATGATCTCATTGAGAATCCTGAGACACTCGATGCCTCCGTTGTTGATGCCCTCCTCAGTGTAGAAGTCGGAAAAGTTCGGGATGGAAGCAAACATCACGCCTATTTCATCGTAAGACTGGCTGTACAGCTCCTGTGAATGTCAGATCACACAGTTAAAGCTGATTTTACTCTACTTCTTTTATTTTTGATGTCAGCAATGTGTAACTCCGAAACACGCCACTAGATGGTGATAATAAAACACAGGAGTCACGTCAACGTGAGACTTTAAGTTGTTCTCATGTTTTTCCGGTTCTTGTTCCCCACTCACAGAAGTGGCTGCAGACTCAAACGTACCTCGTCTCTTTTCTTTGAGCCCAGGAAGTGTTTCGCCACGTGTTCTGGCAGCATGTTGGTGACCAGCGCTTCGTTCCAGCGTCTCATCTCAAAYACCCTCTCCTTCTGGTCGTGCACGCCAACCTTCCAAAGGAAGAGCTTCCGGGACTGACGCTCCAACTACACACATGCAAAGTTGKTTTTTTTTTTACATTAAAAGCATAAAATATGAATGAAACAGCATCGTACGATAATGACTTTAAGGATAGGAGTTGACCATGAAAGTTGGACAAACGTCATGTGGTGATGTAGTGACTCACATGCCGAGCGAAGAAATAAAATCCGATCATCATGACGATAATCATCACCGTCATGAGATACTTTGATGGGATCATGACTGACCTAGGGACACAGGAGAAACAACATTAGAGGAAACACATGCAAACATGCACACACAATCCATCTTGAGAACGTATCAAACGCAAGGCCCACAGGCCAAATGTGGCCCGCCATTGCATTTTATACGGTCCTTGAGATAATCAAAGAGGTATCAACGTCTTAAAATGAACATATGCTTCTTTAAAGCCAGCAACGACCATAAACTACATCTCCCATTATCGTGGCAATTATTTTGTCTATAAAATGATGAAATCACACGGCAAAATTCGCCATGTAAAATCTCCATTTCCCTCCATTTTTGCTGGCTACTTTTGCTGCAGACTAGTTGTACTGGGAACTGGGGATTTTCCACTTTCAAGTCATAAATTTGACGTTTTATATTTAGTTTAAGTTAACACAAAACGTTCATCACCTCTGTTCTTTKGAGGGCCACCATCACGCTCATGTGGCGCTCGATGAAAATGAGTTTGACACCCTTGATCTAGATCTAAATGCAGCACTAATGAGCCCAAAAAAACAAACAAACTTTGTATCAACTTCAATCTCTCACCTGTAAGAAGCAAACTGTATGTAGTCGTACAGGTCATATATATGTCGCCAGCTGTAGATGTTAACGGCTCCGGTTGCGGTGACGACCAGCACCATGAGGCCTAATTTAATCAGGTGGCTGACCTGTACCAACATGGCGACGGCGATGAGGGACATCACAGCCATGAAGCTGTAATACTTTGGATATTCTGCACAGTCTTTGTTACCAAGTGACTCCAGCATGTAGCCAAAGGTGCTGTTGAAGACCCGGAGTGACGGTGGGACACAGCTTAACTGCAACAATGAAAATAAAATATGTGAGGAAAACAAAGATATTCAGAAAAAATACATTGATTTGTTCATGTGGAAGACTGGAATTGTTACCCAATGTTACTGCACTTTCTAATCCAGTTGAACTGGTGTATTTTCTTCATTACAGGTTTCATAATAATTTATAAGAAGCAGGGCCCCTATTAGCACTAAGCTAAGAACAACTCTTTCATAACGAAAGTAGCATTGCTTTAAGGATTCCATATTGCTCATTGATGTGCAGGTGTTTAAAACAAAGATCTAGTGCGATCTGTTAGCACTCTGGCTGTGTGTTACGGATGAATGTCAGCTACCACCACACCACATTTTAGCTCCAAATCTTTAAAATCAACCCAGTTATAGTCATTTTTGTGTTTGCTGAGGTTTAGCTGTGGCAGCTCAAGTCAGGCTGACTCAAGAAGTTAAAAAGTTGTAGATGTGCATTCGGTGATTCATTTTTGAAAATGTATTTATAATCCATCCACTGGTTTGTGAGTTATTTTGCTAACAGACAGAAATACAAACATAAATATGCGCTAAAAAGGGCAAAAACCAACTCTTTCCTTACACCTTTTGACGGTGAGCGATAAAAAAAACTACTTCCCAATTTAAAGCACTTCTTGAATATCAACCTGTCACCTGTACAAGTCAGCACTAGCGTCCTCTACATGCATCAGCCGTTGAAAGCAGCAGCGTGTGGCAGGTTAGTCCAGTGAGGCTGAGACAAATGAGCCAGATGGCAGCAAGACAGACAACTAATGGACCCCAGTGGGAGTGTGCAGTCAGACACAGAACAGGCAGTGATAGTCTGATGAGCAGAAAGTGGAAACACACTAACAAACACAAACACACATCAGAGGGGATGGAATGATGACACACATCTAGTGCTGGGCACAGGTTACCACCACTTATCCGCTAAGCAAGAATCTTGTATTCGTAATTTAAATATTGCCTGACACATGCAGCGCTGCTTGTAAGAGGCGATAGTTTTTATTTAATTTAGGATAAATGGCATAAACATAGAAGTTAAAGGACTTAAATTGATATGAAGCTAATTGGTCCACTAACGATTTCAAAAGTTAGCAAAAAAGCTAATCTGCTGAATAAGAAGCTAATTCCACTGTTATAGGATGAGCGAAACGGTGCCCACCGCTGCACCAGGGGTGGTTCTAGGGGCGGGGCCACAGGAGCATTGGCCCCCGGTGAAATTTGATTGACCCCCTGAAGTGCCCCTGTCTGTCACTCAGCTGTCCTTTGCCCAAGAGTGATGATGCTGGGTGCAGTTCCATGTCCAAACACTAGAGGCGCTAAATGAGACCAATAGAAACGTCTGGCATGAATCAAGCTGATAGAAGTTTTTTTTTCTTAAAACTTGAACAAACCTGCAGAAAAAAGTRTCTCAACTCACCAATGATGACTAGATTTTCTCACATGCTGTGTTTGAGAGTATTTTATCTATGTACATTAAAAATGCATGTAAATTTGTTAAGGAGAATTTACTGTGCAAGCTATATATACACCTTATCAAAACCAGGAATTTGTGTGCAAGGATACTGAACAAATACTTTGCCCCTCTATGAATATTGTGGCCCCTTGATGGCCCCTTACTTAAAAAAATCCTAGATCCGCCACTGCGCTGCACACATCAAACTCAAACACACAGACACACAGATGCAATCCATCCTACGTCTCACCATGTCAGCTGTAACAGCCATGGTTAGGACAAAAATGGCCGCCATGGCCCAGGTGTTTCTTGCCCACCGAGTGCGATCGATCCACATTGAGAAAGACACCAACCTCTTGGAGAACATCTGGGATAAACAAAAAGAAAAACTGACTTGTAGAACTTCTGAAACAATAATTAAACTTACTGCGCACTGAAAAATCACCCAGATCATATAAAAAATGTTTTTTTAAAGATTTTTCTTAACATTTAAGATATATGTGGGAGTTTTGAAGACCTAGACAGATAAATTAGGTAAAAGAAAATGAAATACAATGAAAACTGTGAATTTTTCTCTACAGAGTCCCGCTTCAAAGGAGCTAAACAGCACAATAAACTTATATTTTAGTGTGTGTTTTTTTTCTCACCCTGGGAAAGATAGCAGCCAGGGAGCAAACAGTGAGGATTAGCAGCAACACCTGTCCAACTGCAAAAGTCACGTAGTTCACAACTAACCTGCAGCAAAAACAAAACATACAAAAAAACTTAAACGAAACTGAAAAAAGACACATGAATAAAATCAAAGCAACTCCAAAACATTACTAACTGATACAGATTTTCACATTAGCTGAAACAAACAATGGGATTAAATAGTAACTCACAACGGGTCTATGAACATCTCCATGGCTGTGATGAAAAAGAGCACGATGATGCAGCAGCTGAAGGCAGCTCCGCTTCGTTTCTCCTTTTCTGAGGAGTAGTGCTCTTCCAGCTTTCCATCCACGAAACGCAGAGAAACAGGGTTGATTTTGTGGTCCTTCATTCTGTTTAAAACATAWCAAACAAAAGAGAAGAAACTAAAATCCAGGCACTAAAACACCACTAAGAGGTCAAGTTAATGACCTCTATGCACATATCCAAGTTTAATTCTCATATCAGCTGTCATTTGCAGATTTATTCATTTAATTTAATCTTGAAAGCCATCTGGTTTTGGCCCTCTTAATCRTATTTATTTCCCTTACATTTGCTGCGATTCTCTGTCCAGAAGCTCCTGCTGCAGCCGATCATTGATCGTTTGTTCTTCAGTCATCTTGTTTCTCTAAGAGAGCAAAAGTAAATAGTTATGAAGCCTCAACGACCTCAACCATTTAAAATAATCAAATTATTATTGCATGTACAAAGCAGAATTAAATTGAAGAAAGTTCGTCTATACAAATATTGCAGAATTCACCTCCTGTTTAGAATTGGACAGCATAGACTGGGGCGGGACTGCATTGGCCTTGGGTGATGTGGTGTTGATCAACTGATTTGAACATTTGTTCATCAGAGTGCCTGGTGCCTGCAGAAATGAAACACAATTTTTCAATAAAACAGGAAATATCTTCTTTTTATACATGGTTAGGTCAGGCTTTTTTCCCCCCTTTATTTATTAAAGGGACAGTGCATATTAATAACATTTCTGTAAATATGCCAGAATTAGCCAGAAGGCTATTTTTCACTTGCAGTCCCCAGACAGATCCACCCTAAAATATTAAATATAAAACTACATAATTATAATAATCACCTAATTTCTCTCTGGGATCAATAAAGTATTTTTGAATTTGAATTTGAATTGAATTGAATTACAAAATAACAAATACGATACACTTCAAAAATACTTAAAATATTATAATTTAAAATGCATATAAAAACACATAAACCAACTAGAAGAAAACATAAAAAAAAACAATAAACCCACACATGAGACAAGATGACAACTGAGCGGAGCAAGACCTAGTCTAATTGTAACCTAGTGTTGACAGCTCTGATTATCAATAAGCCATTTCTTTAAAGGCACAGTGTGTAGGATTTTGTCAATTCTTTTAGCTGAAATTGAGATAATCACTAATGACA